TTTAGGATATTCTAATAGTTTATCTACATAATTCAAGTTAATCATATATTCAAGCTACAATAGTTTACCATGAGAGATTGAATCATGTAGTCAAGATTGTTGTTCATAAAATTGCATTTAATATATGATATAGAGGCTGTTCATCTTGCTCACAAGTGTTGATCGTTGTTTTCTGGATCATATGTGAATGGTATGACATTATTTATGCGCCACATCAGTTGTGCTCACAAGTGTTGGGAATCAGCATGAAGGAAACTGGTGTAGTGCATAAGTCAGTGTCAAAAGGCATATTGATTCATCTTGCTCACAAGTGTTGAATCAATTTCGTTTTTATAATGTTTTGGGATTGGTTTACTCAATGCATGTATGTTGTATGTATATATTCAGTGATGAATGATGTGAACACTGTTCAAACCCTAAGGGGAGCAAACTACAAAAAGTGGAAAGAAGACCTTGAGATCTATCTAGGGTTAATGGATTTAGACATGGCAACAAGAGAAAACTCTCATCCAGAATCTTCTGCAGATGTTGTAGTTGATGTCAAGGAAAAGTATGAAAGGTGGCAGAAGGCTAATCGAATTGCTCTCTTGGTGATCAAGTGATCCATGTCTGACACAGTGAGAGGTGGCATTCCTGAGTTCAAGAGTGCCAAGGAATTCTTGACATTTATTGATGAGAAGTTCAAAGAATCAGAGAAGGCAGAAACTGGTAATATCATGAATGAACTTATGACCAAAAGGAATAATGGTATGGGGTGTGTAACAGAACATATATTTGAACTGCTAGATATTGGTGCTAAATTGAATGTTCTCAAAGTCCCTATGAGTGATCCTTTCTTAGTTCATGTGGCGCTTAACTCATTGCCAAATGAGTATTCACAACTAAAGAGCACATACAATGCACAGGAGGAGAAGTGAAGCCTTAATAAACCGATTGAAATTTGTGTGCATGCGAAACAACATATAAGGCAGGAAATTTTTGGAAAAAAGGTGAATATGGTGACTGATCACCACAACAACAACACTGCAGGATAGGAGCACAACAAAGAGGCATCACATTACTCCAAAGTTGGTGCGAACAAAGGGTCCAAAACTGTTAAGGGAAAATGTTTCTTCTTTAAGAGACCTGGGCACATGAAGAGACACTGCCAGAAGTACAAAAAGTGGGTTGACAATGGTAAGGGAAAAGGTAATGTTATGATTTTTAGAGGTGAAGTTTTAGCCTGTTTTGAAACAAATAATGTTGAATCTGCTAGAGATTCTTGGTGGCTTGACAATGGTGCTTCAATACATGTGACAAACTCTTTACATGACTTCATACACAAGAGAGTGCCAAGAAGGGATAAAGTCTCAGTGGTCGTTGGGAATGGAGGAAGAGTTGCTGTTGAGTTCATTAGAACAAGTAGAATAAAGTTAGATTCTAGTTTTACATGACCTTGAGAATGTGTGATATGTACCTTCATTTCAAAGGAATTTCGTATCAGTTAGTCGGTTAGTCATGAAGGATTTTGTATTTTTAATAAATAACAGTGGCTTTTCGATTTACAAAAACTCTTAGATTATTGGGAATGGTTTGCATATTGGTGGCATGTTTAGACTAAATTGTAAAGAGTCAAATCGTGTAGCACATTTGATAGGTCAGAAAAGATTGAATCATAATGAGACTTCCTCCACTCTTTGGCATAAGAGGCGAGGGCACATTTTGATTGAAAGAATAAAGAATCTGAGTAAAAGTGGCATAATCCCACCATTTGAATTTGATAATCTGGTCATATGTATTGAATGCATTAAAGAAAAAATGACAAGTACACACAAGAAAGATACAACCAGGAGCAGTGGATTACTAGAACTTGTACACACTGATATATGTAGACCTTTCCGTACACCTACTTATGATGGTTATAAGTACTTCATCACGTTCATAGACGATTATTTGAGGTATTGCTACTTATATCTGCTTATTGAGAAGTCCAGTGCCCTAAGTGCTTTTCAAATTTACAAAGCTAAAGTTGAAAAACAGTTGGATAAGAAAATCAAAACAGTAAGATCCGGTAGAGGTGGTGAATACTATGGAAGATATACTAAACATGGAAGGAATCCATGACCTTTTTCACTTTATCTGCAAAGTGAAGGAATTGTAACTCAATATACAAATCCTCGAACACCACAACAGAATGGTGTCTCCGAAAGAAAGAATCGTACTTTGAAGGATATGGTTAGGAGTATGATGAGCACTACCAACTTGCCATTGTTTTTGCAAGGTGATGCAATTAAAACTGTAAACTATATTTGCAATAGGGCACCAAGCAAGTCTATTACTTCAACACCATTTGAACTTTGGAACAACAAAAAACCTAGCTTGTTGCATTTAAGAATATGGGGTTTGTAAAGCAGAAGCTAGGGCATACAATCCTCACAAAATGATGTTAGATGCCAAAACTGTGAGTTGTTATTTCATTGGTTATCCACCAAGAACCAAAGGGTACAAATTTTATTGCCTTGGAAATTCCATGCGATTCATTGAGACAAATAAAGTTAAGTTCATAGAAGAAGTGAAAGAAGAAGTTTTGAATTACAGCTTGGTCTTTTAAGAAGAAAATGAGTTTAACTCACAAGAAGATGCATAAGACAATATTCCCTTGCCACCAGGTACTGAAATTGTTGAGAATATTATGCAAAATGATACAAGGGATGCCACTGATAATATTATAGGCCATATGGAAGAGCATGATACTGCAAATGATGTTCCATGAAAACCAGTGCAAGTCACAACGAGAAAACCAGCAATTTCAGACGATTTTGTGGTATTTTTGAGTGAAGTAGATATCAACGTTGGTGAGCCTTCTACATATAAGGAGGCTATAAGTGGACTGCAACGAGAAGAACGGATGAAAGCCATGGAGAGTGAGCTTGAATCCATGGAAAAGAATGAGGTATAGGAACTTGCAATATTACCAAAGGGAGCAAAACCAATTGGATGTAAGTGGGTGTTTAAGACCAAGAAGGACTCCATAGAGGAAGTTGAGAGATTTAAGGCTAAACTTGTAGCCAAGGGATACACTCAACAAGAGGGAATCAATTACACTGAGACATTCTCACCAGTCTCAACAAAAGATTTATTCAAGTTTGTTATGGCCTAGGTAGCTCACTATGATTTCCATCTACATCAAATGGATGTAAAAACTATATTCCTAAATGTGTTTTTTGTTTTTGGAGGAAAAGATTTATATGAAGTAGCCTGAGGGATTCATTGGCTCTGATGGAAAGGAATTAGTATGCAAACTCAAAAAATCAATTTATGGCTTAAAGCATGCATCAAGGCAATGGTATTTGAGATTCGATGAAGTCATGCAATCACATGGTTTTGTTGAGAATTCTGAAGATGAGTGCATATATTTTGAATCCAGTGGGAGACACTTCACTATATTGGTGCTATATATGGATGATATCCTTATAGCTAGCACTGATTTGACTTTGCTGCATGAAACAAAATTAATACTCCGTGACAACTTTGAGATGAAGGATATGGGTGAAGCATTTTATGTCATGGGGATCGAAATCACTCGTGACAAAAGGAGAGGTTTGCTTGGGCTATCACAGAAGGGATATATAGACAAGATACTCAAGAGGTTCAATATGTCAACATGTAGTGGTTGTGATGTGCCAGTGACTAAGGGAGATAAACTAAGCAAGCTACAAAGCCCTAGAACTGAAGCTGAAAAGCTTGAGATGAATGACAAACCGTATACCTCAGTTATTGGGAGTCTAATGTAGGCACAAGTGTGCACTAGACTTGACATGACTTTTGCATTGAGCTTGTTAGGGAGATATCAATTGAACCCTGGACATGCCCATTGGATTGCAGCTAAGAAGGTGTTACGGTATTTGCAAAAAAAAAAAAGATTATAAGTTAGTATACAAGAGAAGTGACAACCTCTAGTTGGTTGGTTACTGTGACTCATATTATGCAGGGTATCAAGATTCATTGAAGTCTACCTCGAGCTATATTTTTATGATGGCAGGAGGTGCAATCTCATGGAAGAGTATGAAACAGAAGAACATCACTACCTCTACTATGATGGCAGAATACATGGCTTGTTTTGAGGCCACTTCTCAAGCAGTTTGGTTTGGTAAGTTCATAGAAGGAACGAAAGTCCTCAACATTGTCACGAATCCATTACAAATATTTTGTGACAACACTGCATCAGTTTTCTATTTCAAGAACAATAAGAGGTCTTCTGGAACTAAGCATATGCATATCAAGTACAAGTTAATTAGAGAAAAGATCAAGCAAGGGTTTATAAAGATCAGTTACATTGACACAGTATCAATGCTTGCAGATCTCTTGAACAAGCCACTTCCAGTCAAAGCTTTTAAACAGCATGTGGAAAATATGGGACTGACCTCGAACTTTGATATGCAGAATTAGTGGGAGTAGAAAACTGTTTCTAATTACAGTGCAAATAAGTGAGTTAAACTCACTAAGTTTTAAAGATGTAGTTTGGTTCCGAGTTTGGATTGAATAAAGGTTGTTTTCAATAATTGTGTTCACGTAATGCATGCATGCATATGTATATTTTGTCTGCATTTTATACTTTTGAATTGCAGAAAGTTGAAGAGTTTTCTGGAGTGATGGAAAAGTTTGCATTGGCAAACATATAAGCTGTTCAAAAGCATAAGGTGTGACTTATTAAAGTTACAATACAGTGGACCTGAGATGATATGGAGTAAGACAGTTCTTGAGATAAAGTTTCATCTCTAGATCATAATTTGATGATTTTCATGTGAATGGTTTGCTCAGTGTATGTGATTATGAAGGTTTTGAGATGAGACATAATTACAACCTTGTTAATCCTACATTGAGAAAACTTTTTGACAGAAATTTGAATTAAGGATGAGATTGAATCGCAGGCATATGGCCATTAAAGAAACACTGATTTCCGATACATATTTGAAACATGATCATTACAATTCGTAGACCAAGTGGGAGAATGTTGGATCTATTCAATATAAATCAACCATAAATAGGAATGCATAAGTAGGAAATCAGTAAAGCTGTGATTTGATCCTCATATATCATACCCCACGTTAAGTGTCTTACATTATAAGTAGGCTTGATAGAATCCTTAATAATATATGATTATGATACTTTACTTGAGAGCCAAGAAATGAGAGTTTTAGCTTCTCCTTGGCTAGTATATAAACATCGGTCCCTGCTAACCCTAGATACGACAACTAAGGCTTCCCATAGAGCATAGTCATAAGGCTAGGAGTTTGCAGAAGAGTTAGTGTTTTTCCTCGATCAAATTCTGTAAGCATGGCAGCTGCATCCTGGACAAGTAAGTAATTCTTCTTTGTGCTTGATAACTGATATGTGTTTTGATCATGTAAACATCACGGCTAACAGCGAAGACTATTGATGAATTTGTAATCACACCAGCTGAAGGAGTACCACGGCTTAGCTAGATATGGAGATTCAGGGAACATGCGCTCTGCAACAAAAAACAAGATATTGAAAATGGCTTGGTTGGTCACCACCAGGATTTGATTGGCTAACTCGTTGTACATTCAGAGCTCGTTGGGTGCCTTGAATTGGGGAACTCACTAGTCACTACTTTCAAGTTGACAATCCAATCCTTCCACCAAACGATCCCTCAATGTATGTTGAAGGAAGAAAAGATGCAACTTTCAAGTTAAAGGTAGAAGATGGATCACTCGTTAAGCCAACTTACCCCTCCTAATCCTACCATGGAAGGATTGGAAGGGATAAGTTTCCTCCATGACTAATTAATCTTCTACCTTCAACTTGACAAAAAACCTGGAAATTAACATCTATATCTTCATTCAACATACATCCATTCAACGTAATAATTTATCCAATCCAATCTAATCCAATACACCAAACGAGCCCCAAAGTCTTGAACAAATCAAACAAGATTATGCATGAACAAAAATCATACAGTGAAAAATAATACCTGGGTTTTAAAGAAAAAGTGAGATAGAATAATGGGTTACCAGTCAAATCCTAAGGCTCGAACTTGCAGACATCGATGACAGGGAGGAAGTGGCAGGCTTGGGAGTTGTTATATTTCATCTTCTTCCTCAAGAAGTCTGCCATTTCCTTTTCAGTGGGATGGAATCTGATCGCAGCCACCATGTCCGGCACCGATTGTGCGGTTGTTGATGTGGTGGTGCTGCTACTGATGTTTCCCATCCCTCCTCTTTGTCTTTCAATGTTTTGACAATTTGGAAACAAGATTATCAGATGTTTGTTGCCTAGAGAGAACGAAGCAGAAGAAGCAGAGCAAGTGAAATTTGTATTTAAAAACAGAAGTCACCCAATCAAGTCAGTGCCACTGTGCTTTTTGACTTGCAAAGACTTCCAAGTCTTGGGATGATGCCGCCAAACCAAGTTTTGCTGATGCTGTAGAAATAGAAATTTTTCAGGATGATCGATACACGAAGTGATATATCACGTGTCATTATATAAATTGTATGATGTGTGTATCAAAAAGTTAATAATTTAAATAAAACTTTTCACTACTCATATAAAAACATGTGATGTATCAACCGTGTTCTCGTTATAATTAAAAATTTCTCTTTGAGTGGATCCCACCCACTTCCTATCGGCAATCATGTCTCTTACTTTGTATTTTGTATTTGTTTTATTTGTTTTTGTTCTTTTGGGAAATATCACCCTTGTAATTGGAGATTGAAAAGCCAAAGTTCAAGCTTTACTATTATTTTCCTCGGATGAGGATCCGGACTCTGGATCTTCTTTGTGAGGATTATGGGAATTATTCAATCGTATCAGTTTATCGTATATTATGCAGTAAAAAATTATTATAAAATTATTATTTAAAATTGAATATAAATATTACCTAATAAAAACTTTTCGTACAATACGATAAACGGACGCGATTGGAGGATTCCTAGGATCCTCATTCATTTTCTTTAACTGATGATATCAATAGATTTTGAACACAAACCCATTTTTATCAATCACACATTTTTATTAATATTTTTTCATTAATCTTTTTCAATTCATTCCGACGGTTGAAAATTGAGAATAGTGAGTGAGAAGTAAAATGAGTGGCACTACCTTAGATTTTTCTTGAGTAGTACCTGAATTCAGTATCGACATATATTTAACTTTTGAATTTGATTTAATGGCTTAAATTGAGAGATTGAGTACTGCCCTATTAAATTCAACTGTTAAACATGTGTCAACATTATATGTGACAGCCCGTCCCGAAATTTTGGAATATTAATTGGTCTCAAACGTGGAAGTTACTAAAATACCCTTGGACGTTATAGTGTGTTGTGTGTATTGTGTACTTAGGTTTTAGACCCATCCATTATTTTCCCAAGTTAAGAACTAAGGGAAACTAAAAAGGACTTAGTTTTGTTGGTTTTGGTTGGTGACCCACGTGGACACACACACATTCTCCATCACTCCCGTGCTCTGTCTCTCCTCCCTCTCGGACTTCTTTCTATTTTCCGTACAAACCGTATGGACAAACTTCAAACTCAAGCTTTCACGCACGGATCGACGTTAAAAAGGTAATGTTCTTGTTCCCTACAAGCTCCTGAGTCCATTCGTACCATTTTTAGGACTTGAAAGCTTGTAAAACCCGAGAAACCATCACCCACGATTTGAGTTTTGTTCACATGGTCGTAACTATGGATGTTTTAGGGGATTTTAAGCTCGTAGGAAGCTTTAGGACGTTCTTACAAAGCTCGGAGGACAAAAACCAAGTAAATTGGATGTCGGGAAGTCGAGTTTGGCGAGTATGAAAGTTGGCCGGAATTATCGTGTCTTCTCCGGTGAGATCCCGTGATTTTTGGAGCTTGAAATTGGTAAGAATGTGTTCTACTCGTTATAAGCTTCAATTTGGTTTAAGTTTCATGAGTTTTGGTTCAAAAATGAAGAAGTTATAAGGATTTTAAGATTTTTCAGTTTCTGGCGACGGCGACGGTCGCCGGAGTTCGAAGGTAGAAGACAGAGAATATTCCGTCAAACTTTGACGGAATATTCTGACGCCGTCAGGTAGAATTAACGATTTCTGTTACTTTTTAACGGAATGTTCCTAACGGGGTTAGGGGATTCCTTTAGGGTTCCCTACGCGTGGCCGCGCGTAGGGCTGTGCCCTTGTCGGCGCGTGACGGTGCGTGAGGGCTCCAAAAATTATTTTAAAAATTTGGACGTGTTCATGGAGTTGTGTAGGTCACGATGATATATTTATATACCTCAATTGAGCAATGTATGAGAAGTGATTAGCTAGTATTGGTTATGTGCTTTAAATTAACGTTTTTATAGTTGTTTTGCTTATAGGAGAGACTTATCTCGAGGACGAGCGTAGTCAAGGGCGACTCGGGGGCTACAATCCTTCGACATACCAATGAGTGGGCTTTTGGTTTTGAATATATATGTATATGTTTGGTATATTTCCTAGAAAATGCATTTAAATGAGTTATGACTTAAATTGCCATGCCAAATGTTTTACATTTAGAATATGCATATGATGTTTGCATATATATATATATATATATATATATATATATATATATATATATATATATAATTGTGGTGTTGTGGATGCTCAGGTAAGCCCTAGGTAAGTTATGAATTGTGAATGTGAATAACGGTTCTAATTAATTGAGGAACATAGAGCTCATAAACCTGCACCCCGGTGTTAGTGAGTTAGCCAAAGATATGGCACATGCATGTATCTAATGTCACCTCCCGCACCATATGCTCACATTGGATCCAATTTAGGTGCACAGTCTTGTCGTACAAACCATTATATGTGGTTCCGACTCGTAGGTGACTAGCGATTTATCGCACAGTTATAATGAGAATGTAGTAAGGAGCATAGTTATATTACACCTAGTCTTGTTGTACATACCATTTCAGTGGTTCCGACTCGTATGCAGTCTAGTGTCGTATAGGTCACTTGCAGTGACTCTGGCTAGATTGACTAATGAGTTATGAATTCAGCCATATAGACCTCTGCAGGGGTTTCGACTAATATGTTATTTTCCATGAATTTATTTTCACCTGAGTTACTCATTCTGCTTTATATTTTGGCATGGCATACTTATAAAAATGGATATGCGAAGCATGAATTGAAATATATGTGTGTGTGTGTGTATATATACTTATATATTTATATTCCACTTCTGGGAAATTTATACATGTTTTACGGCGAGGGGTTAGAGCATTTGATAATGAAATAGTTTTGGAAAGCTTTGTTTTTGCCCACTCACACTTTCTGTTTTTGTGCCCCTCCAAGTTTTAGATAAGCTTGTTCGTTGGTGGCTCACGAGGATTGACTGGAGGTTTTGACAGACTATCACAAATGTAGGGCATCTTTGGGTGTCATTTAATTAGTACTTATTTTCTGGACTGAACTTAGGCTACTTATGCTCTGATTGTGTATTCACACATTTTCTAGCACTTACCTTAGCTAGTACTCTTATGAATTGGTTTTTAATTATTCGTATTCTCTATTATCCTTATTGCTTCCGCACTGTGCACATGGCTATGTCACCCTCACGTGACGGCCAGCATGCCCTGATTCGGGTCAGGGTGTGTCATTATACGTGTATGTGCTCATCTTGTAAATCATAAGTGTGGAGGTATGAGGTAGTTTGTGTGTTGAATTTACTGCACCATGTAGGAGTGGTACATGGATGATCTTGCTTGGTATATCTGCATTGGGGGACCATACGTATTTCAAGGGTGATCATGCTTGGTATATCCGCGTTGGGTGATCACTACATGCACGATGAGATTATGCTATGTTCTGCTTGGTATATCCGTGTTGGGAGACCATACGCATTCTAGGAATGATCATGCTTGGTATATCCGCATTGGGTGATCACTACCTAGAGCTATAGGATACAGTCCTGCTTGGTATATCCGTGTTGGGGGACTGTTAGGGGTGATCATGCTTGGTATATCTGCGTTGGGTGATCACTGCCTACGTTATTAGACTATGCATATGGTTATGCTTGGTATATCCGCTTTGGGGGACTATACGCATTCTAAGAGTGATCATGCTTGGTATATCGTTGGGTGATTACTACCTAAAGTTAAGATGTGGTCCTACTTGGTATATCCACGTTGGGGGACCATACGTATTTTAGGGGTGATCATGCTTGATATATCTGCTTTGGGTGATCACTACCTGCATGATTACCTTGAGTTTTTAGAAACATGTTATTGTCAGTTGATGCATACCTATATATATGTATATATATTAAATTGGCCTTGAGTTTTCAATAAATATTTGACCCAAAAATTAGAAATCAATTAAATGGCTTGGATCGATGAACATATGTTTCTAAATAAAAATCCAAATATTTATCAAATTAGCTTATTAGCATACTGATGCGTACTTACACACACACACACACACACACACATATATATATATATATATTAACCTACAACCATGTATGATTCTTGTAATAGATTGACCGTCAAATAATTGGGAGACATCGCATATTTCATAAATAATATTGCCGTTAACACAAAAATTCATGTTAAATGTATTTATAACGGTATTTAATTGTTAGAAGAAAAAAAATTATGACAAATTTCTTTTTAATTTTCAAGTTGTCAAAAAAAAAGGTAAACGGGTAAAAAAAAAGTAAACGGGTTAAAAATGGGTAAATGGGTATGCGGTTATGGTATGGTTAACCGTTTATAAATGGTTATGGGTATGGGTATACCCGTTTATGTAAATACCCAACGGGTAAACAGTTATGCGGGTAAAAGCTTAAACAGTTATGGGTAAATAACCGCGGTTACCTGCCCGCCATAACCGTTGCTCATCCCTAAGGATTAGTTGTACTTGGTACATTCCGATAGACAATTATATTTCGGGTTGGATTCTATTGAGTGGTTCGAAATCCCTACTCTTTCTCACAGTAGACATTGTGTTTATAAATTGGATTTACCTTATTATTACTTGGAATCCATGCAAGGAATTATATTGAATTCCTTTATTAAATTTCATGATTTGATACGTGATCTTGATGATATATTAATGTAGTTAAATGTTAATATCGTGCATTTGTGATTCATGGGACTGAATAATTGGAGTGATTGTGGAATGACGTTGGATATGATTGTTATTATTATGATAGACTCATTGATCATTGTGAGAATAACATTTTGCTTCGTTGACTGTTCTTTGAGATGTAGCATACTATGAATTGCAGTATTATGTGAAACATAGTGATTTATATGATGGATGAATTGGAAAGCATATGTG